GTCGATCTCATGACGCACACCTCGGTCCGGAGGTAGGACCGAAGGCAGGTCTTTGGAGGCGACGTCTTGGATAGTACGGATCCGATGGATTTTTCAGGATTGAAGATCTACTTCGTGCGGTTAGCACCCTCTTGGTGTTCTCCAGGATAGCTACATCCAGAAGCGACATCAGGTTAATCTCCTCTTTCGGTCGTAAAATGACCACTTCGGTTGCGTCGCCTGGATTCAAGGCACCGCCCTTTAAAGGACATCTCGTCCAGCTCAAGAAGAGCATTTACTGCAGGGATAGTCCCAGGGTGACGTCATTGTTTTTCTACCCCGTCATACCGTTGACGAGGGGAATAGCTTTGCGATATCTTCGACGGTAGATACATCCTGGGTCAAGGTAGAAACTCGGCGTCTTGCTTCTAGTCATAAGGCGCCCGTCGCCTCTCCACCGGTGTCTTACGTCTTGGTGAGACAACTAGCAGGCTCGTCCAGTGCTAGCCCCACGTCATCCTCCACCGGAGCCCTAATGTTATTAACAACATCCGACGAAGAGCTGTTAGCTCCACAGAATCCGGCCGGTTGATAACTTGCCACTGCACGCGCATCAGAAGGGCCATGCTTGAGATGCCTCAGACCTCGTCCTACTATGCCACCGGTGGCATGCAGCGACTGCTTCTAAACTTAAGCAGCACTCAGTGGGTTACGTGACATTCCACGCACATCCTTACGACCTCACCCTCGATGCCTCGGCCCTCGTCCGACCATGCCACTCTTGGCATGCAGCAACTGTTTTGTAACGTGAGCAGTGCTCAGTGGGTTATGTGCCACCCCACGTCCATCATTGGGGCCTCGCCCTCGATGCCTCGACAATTTGGCCAACCATGCCACGCATGGCATGCAGCGACTCTCTGATACTTGAGCAGCACTCAGTAGGTGAAGTGCCACTCCGCGTTCAGCCCGCGAGCCATGCCCAGGCCATTTGTACGATGCACTTTTGGTGTTCGACAACTCGGATTCTTCGATATCCAGCGCGTTAATCGTTCCGGTTTTCGCACCAATATCGTTTTTGCCTCCTAGCATTGGTGGGTTCATCACTCACCAAATCGCCAATTAGAGACGTGCGCGTAGCGCACAAGGTCTTCGAAATCCAAACGATCCATAGCTCATGGTGTTCTTACTCTGCCAAACCAAGGATAAGGTCATACCGTAAATCCAAGTCTAAGACTCAGCGGTCTCCCACGCTATCAAAGTCAAGAAACTTGACATTCAGGTCCACGGGGATCCTCGGCACCGTGACACATGTCTCGTCGCTGAGCGAACAGTGAAGATGTTACTCAAGCGCGCTTTCAGCGCCTCAGCATACAGCTGGCTTCCTTCCATCGTGGAGCGTCGAGCATGATTGGCCGGCGGCCCGTAGTCGATAAGGATCGTCCATGGCTTTCAAATCCCTTCACGGTCGCTTTTACGACCAGACAGCCCGGCTTGCAGGCACGTTTCGTATACAAGAGTAAATAGCTTTCGGGGCTGGGCCTGCTAACATCTAACTCTTTTAGGCTCAACAGATCTCAGTTCTTTTCCAGTTGGACGCACCGCGCCTACTGCCAATGCAGGAATGGTGCGGGAAGGCAA